CACCTCCAGTGGTAGGAGAACTGAGAGTTATCATCAATGAGTTTACTTCTGGCTGGGTCATGCTTTGATATCATTTATAATGACCCTCACTCTATCCATATACAATATTGTCCTTTTTTTGCTCCCTCGGACCAGAGACTTCTTAGGGGGTCACCCATCCTAGTACTACTCCAGGTTAAGCACGCTTAACTCTGAAGTTCTGGTGGGTTCACCACTAGCAAGCACACGTCCAGAACGTAATAGAAAAAGGCCAACATGGATGGAGGATTATAACGTACCTGGAATTAATCATAATGATGATGCTCTCACTCATTTTGCTCTATTTTCAGATTGTGATCTAGTAATTTTTGAAGATGCCATCAAAGAATCAAAGTGGCAGAAGGCCATGGATGGATAAACAAACGAAAAACAAAAATATAGATAATGTTGATGCCAAAAATCTCCACGCTCTAGAGCCCGTGACGATTCCTGCAAGACAAAAAAAGTGATGACCGGCGTGGTGCCGGCCGGGTACATTCCGACGGTCAAGTTAGTACTTGACGATTTAATATCCGATAAGGATTACATATAAAATTTATGGTGTATCTTTGTAGGTTGACTGATCCTTTCTTTTATAGAAGCATTAATGATAGTAGTTGTTGAAGCGAGATTCTCCCGATCCAAGATGATATCGTTCCCTTCTTACAGGAATGGTAACTCTGGTTACATATGGTAACCAGATTTTTTTATAATTCCATAGAGATTTTGCATAAGATAAATCCCTTACCCTTATCTTATTTCTCTTTTGACTTTGAGTTGCCTACTATTTTTATCCTTATCAGTTATCCCCCATTCTCGTGCTTGCTTGTCAAGTATCGACAGGGACGGAGCCAATGAAGGGCCAGGAGGGGCACGTGCCCCTCCTGGCCTAGCCCCGCCCTCTATAATATATGTAGAATTTTTTTATATTTTTTCTATATATATGAAAAATTGTATACAGTGCCCCTTCTGGCCTAGTCCCGCCATCTATAATATATATAGTGATTTTTTATATTTTTTCTATATATATGAAAAATTTTATATAGTGCCCCCCCAAATTTTGTGGTTTCTAAAATTATTCATTTATTTTCTTTTTTACTCTTCAAATTTCTTAAATTTTCTTGAAAAAGTTAAATTTTCCTTTTTCAATTGAAACTCTTAACTTTTTTCTTTTAAAGTTCTCTTATTTTTCTTTCCTTTTTCAATTTCTACTTCTTAAAATTCATCTTTTTAACATGCATATTTGAATTTTTTTTTTCTTCTTCTTTTTTATTTTATATTTGTAATGTTTATATATATATATATATATATATATATATATATATATATTTTGCATGGTGCCCCTCCTGACTTGAAATCCTGGCTCCGTCACTGAGTATCGAGAATGTCAAAAGTGTTTTTTTGAGTGACGTCTCTTTGGCATAAATCAATCTATTTTTAGGTTAACCCTTGTTGGGCGACCTTTTTTTGGTTGATCTCTTAAGATTTGCCCGAACTTCATGAGTTGAGGGAGTAGGCTTTCTTAAGCTAAATAAGCTTACCTTTAAAAAAAAAAAGGAAGTATATTTACGAGCTTTACTCAGCTCGCTCCTTAAAAAGGAAAATATATTTTACGAGCTCGCCCTTTAAAAAGGGAAGTATATTTTACAAGTTGATTTCAACCCCTTTTAATACGGAGGACAACAATTACGAGCTTCATTCAGCTCGGGCCCTTATAGTATGGGGCACTTTTATATCAATCCCTTATAATACGGGGATGGTAATTATGAGCTTCATTCAACTCGCCCCTTTAAAAAGGAAAATATATTTTTCGAGCTTCATTCAGGTTGCCCTTTAAAAAGGGAAGTATATTTTACAAGTTGATTTTGACCCCTTTTAATACGGAGGACAACAATTATGAGCTTCATTCAGCTCGGGCCCTTATAGTATGGGACACTTTTATATCAATCCCTTATAATACGGGGATGGTAATTATGAGCTTCATTCAACTCGCCCCTTTAAAAAGGAAAATATATTTTTCGAGCTTCATTCAGCTTGCCCTTTAAAAAGGGAAGTATATTTTACAAGTTGATTTCGACCCCTTTTAATATGGAGGACAACAATTACGAGCTTCATTCAGCTCGGACCCTTATAGTACGGGGCGCTTGTATATTAATCCCTTATAATACGGGGAATGGCAATTACGAGCTTCATGAACTTATCCTTTTAATATGGGAGGGGATTTTCCAGAGTTTCGTGAGCTCGTGTCTTTAATAAGAGAGGTTAACTTTCTGCCCCCATTCCCAAGCTTGCCTCTCACGCACAAGGAACACTAATGTTCTCTTTCTATTTCCAAAGTTAGAAAAGCAAAAATAAAAGGACAGATGTACAGTTTGAACGGATAATATATATACATATTTATATATATAGAATTGGTACAATTAAGGTAAAAACTTATCATTGAGCATCATAGGACCAAAATCATCAATGGAGCTGGCTATTGTTCTCTAGAATAAGAAACTTTTTTTTTTTTTTTTTTAAACCCTGTGAACAGTACCCGCGGGTACTCACAAAATAAATTTTTTTTTTTTTTTTTTTTTTTTTTGTCTACACCCTGTGAAAAGTACTCGTAGGTACTATTCCCACGGGTACTATTCATGTGAATAGTACTCACAAAATATATATATATATATATATATATATATATATATATATATATTTACACCTTGTGAATAGTACCCACAAATTTTTTTTTTTTTTGTTTTTTTGTGAACAGTACCCGCAAAGCGTAGTATTTTATCGAAGGGTCCCCAGATGAACTACATCATTATGTAGGTAAACAATATTTTGCAAACAATTGGAAACACATAAAAAATTGTTTCTCTTTAAATCATGTGAGGAAGTGTACACATATATTTTGATATACGCGTAATGCATGAAACTTATCCTGTTAATAACGATGATGAAACAACTGCTAGTGGTCGAGCGGCGCTTTCCAGCAATTTTACCGGATTGAGCAACTATACCCTTGCTTTTGGCCATGCAATCCATGAACTGTTCTCTTTCTTTTAGAGAAAGCCAGATTGTAAAGACTGAATTGCTTTTAAGTTTTGTCGTAGATTTCCCTTGTACGAACCATGATTTGTTGGGATTAATATACATTCCCACAGACGGCGCCAACTGTTGATGCCAAAAATCTCCACACTCCGGAGCTCGTGACGATTCCTACAAGACAAAAAAAGTGATGATCGGCGTAGTGCGGGCCATGTGCACTCCGACGGTCAAGTTAGTACTTGACAATTTAATATCCGATAAGGATTACATATAAAATTTATGACGTACCTTTTTACGTTGACTGATCCTTTCTTTTATAGAAGCATTAATGGTAGCAGTTATTGAAGCGAGATTCTCCTTGATCCAAGATGATATCGTTCCCTTCTTACAGGAATGGTAACTCTGGTTACATATGGTAACCAGATATTTTTTTATGATTCCATAGAGATTTTGGGTAAGATAAATCCCTTACCCTTATTTTATTTCTCTTTTGGCTTTGAGTTGCCTATTATTTTTATCCTTATCATATAACTACTAAAATATAAAGTGATTTTTGCTCGCCGTGCCAAGCTCGTCAGATATTATAGCATATATTTATATCTATAATTATATATATATTAAACAATAAACATATTGAGAACACCATGACGAATAATTCTGACTGAGAATAGGAAAAACTTTTTCAGACATTGTATTCTCAAAAACAAAAATATAAGCAATACGAAATATATATTAAAACATACCTTAAGTCAAATAGGCCTAGAGTTCTCCGTATAAATCAAATACGACTTTCTTGGATAAGCTTCAAATACGACTTTCTTCGGTACGCTTTAAAGTTGAGTTAGATGACAAAAGTAAATATTGAAAGAAGAGATGGAATGACAGAGGATGAGAGAGGCAAGATCCCAGCCGATTATAGAATCTTGCCTCTCTCATCCTCTGCTAATTTAATAAAGTAATTGTGGAAGGGGCGTATGTAATAAAAACATTGTGTAAACCTTTTTTATAATCGAAAACTGCGTATCTTTTTTTTTTAAAATCAAAACGTAATAATACAAAAAGTGTATATAAAAAATAGAAATAGAATACACTTTTATAGGGTAAATAAATATTATTATTTTTTATTTAATGCAGTGACGAAGTAGTGGGTGGTTTAATTTATTTTTGAATATAATAACTAAATAATTAATTTTTGAATACGATAACAAAATTTTGCTTTGAGATTCTGGATTACATACAACACAAAATGAACCAACCAAAATGCAAATCTTTATTAATTTATGTCTCCCATTTTAATTGCACAGAAAACATAAGCAGACGAATCAAATTAAAGAAACATATCAACCTTCAAACTTAATCATTAGCAAAAAGTGAAGCAAAAACGAAATATATGTACATAATAATGTAAAAACAAAAATATAATAGGTACATAAAACACTCTATCTCCATTTCAATTCATTATATATTATTCCTTAATTTTCTCTCTATAATTTGTTTACCCTCTTCTGTCTGTGTGTTTGAAGGCCACCTAAACTTTATAGTACAAAAAAAATAACATATTTTCTTTTACTAGACTTGACTAAATTCAGATTACCGAGAATTATCCGGCTAAAATAGTTACTAGTATGCAACTTCTTTTTTGGGTCTTAATTGTTCATCAACATACATAGAGATGTGCTATTTTTGTGAGCAGTGTGTGATTCTTGCCAACAAAAAATTATTAGAAAGGATCAAACAAATTATTATCCAAATGCGTATTAGGTTATGTGCCTCAAATTATAATTGGCATATGAAAAGTTAAAATACATTCAAAATTTGAGATGGATCCTATCCTGTGTTTTTTTTTATTGTTACTGTGAATAAAGAAAGAAACAGAGTTGATACTTGGCGTTTGGAACTTACTAGTTTGGCCGTATTATTTTATGGAAAAAAAAATACGTAAATTAAATAGTAGTTTTAGTTTTCTCCGAGAAGAACTTTCATCGTAGTATAAATTTAGGTTAGAAGTAGTATTTGAATGAAATTACAAAGTTTTGCTCACAAAATTTGATTTATTTTTAATTGTGATGCCATGGAGTGGCGCATAAACATTTTGGTATCTTTGTTTCTGGTATGGTCAACGTGGTGGTGTTCATACACATGGGCATGTTCGGAATTGGAGATTGGGTTGTTAAGTGAGGAGCTATTGGAATCGGCTAGGGAGGACGAGTTCTTGGATTGGCTGAAAAGGGTTCGAAGGCAAATCCATGAGTACCCAGAACTTGCCTTTGAGGAGCACAAGACGAGTCAACTCATCAGGTCAGAGCTCGACTCGCTCGGTATCGAATACCGGTGGCCGGTGGCTGAGACGGGGGTGGTGGCTGCAGTTGCTGGGTCTGGGAAGCAGCAGCAGCAGCCCTGCTTCTCTCTCAGAGCAGACATGGATGCCCTCCCTATTCAGGTAGTTACTCTCCCTATGCCCCTAAAATTCCTCCGGCTATGATCCCATTTTTAATTTCTACTGGCTTCAGAAATATGAAAAGTCATTTATGCCCTTAATACCGTGTTTGCAGCAACTGGATTTTAAAGGAATTGAATTTAAAACTATTGTTTAGATTAGAAATAATGAAATTTCATGAATTTCCACAGGGAAAATATCCCAATTTAAAAAAATCTGGATAAAATTGCACTGGATTTGAAATCAAGGTTAGCTGACAAATTAATTTGTTTCCAACTTATCAAAATTATCCTTCCTTTTTTTTTTTTCACGTCTCTCTTTCTCTAGCTTTAATGTTGTATTCACCCAATAAGTGACTATTCCTTTGATCATTAAAATCAAATAATCAATCCACTATTTAAACAAATATAGCCACAAAAAAAAAAAAAAAGTGAAATTACTAAAAAGTCCCATCATGCTCATTCTGTCTCTCTCGTAGCTGTTGCATACTAAAAATAAAGGAGACTACTGCTTATATATATATATAATCATTTGATTCAAATGAAACTTTGAATTTCTTTTTGGACTTAAAAAACACTTTCAACAAATGTTCTGAGAAAAGATGATGCAGTTATTGCATAAAACTCATTCGACAAGCTGCAGTTGCTTATTAATTTGTACAAGTAATATACAAAGCTTGTGAGGGGATTGATTTTTGTGAATGGTAAAATGGGGATAATTTATTAGTCTCAGTAGCATCTCCCTTATTTTTGTGTCAATTTTGTTGCATTTGATAAAACTGAAAATTTTGAGTGATGAAGTTTTTGAGTGATAATTAAATATATATAGGGCTTTCTGTTTTCTTGTGAAGTCCATCAAACTGTCATCAACCCCTCTATTTTTCTCTCTTGGAAGAAGAACGTCTGGTTATAATCACAAAATTTTTAAAACTAAAAACTAAAACCAGTCACCATCTCATTCCCTACTTTGCTTATAGGACGTGACAAAGTGTTAGACATTGTTTCAATTCTATTTTAGAACGTATAAATCAAAGGTGGGGTAGGAGACTGACCATGTAATTGGGCCATGTTGAGAAGATTGTAATATAAGGAAATAATTCTGAAACTTCCAATAGTTTAATATATTAAATCGGAATGATTAATCTTAATCGTTTAAGTATTCAGATGGTTCAAATTCTCTTCTTTTTCTGAGTCTTAATCATAAATTCACAGAGAGATCATGAAATCTGTTCAATATTGGTAGACTTTGTTGTATAACCTGATAACAAACTCTTTAGAGTGGGGTGACAAAAAAAATGCCTCAAAGTCACAGAAACTGCATTTACTTCAACAGGCCAAAGTGCAGGTACATAGCTGAGCTGTACGGTTTTGGCCTGATAGATATTTGCCGAAGCCATAATATATAAACATGAAAAGGGGCTTGGAAACGGCTAACCAGAGGTTTAAAATTCCCATTACCATAATTCCAGGAACCATTACCAGAAAAATCCCATTTGAATCTTTATATTCAAAATCATTGGTATACCTATATTTCTTGATTGCTTACCATCATGGTCACAAATGCTTCTGTTAGGACAAGTACTGGAATTTATTCTTGCAATTTTCCTTTCGGCTTTTCCTCTCTAAGTTTCAAATGAGTCTTGTGAAATTTCTAGTACTATGAAAAAGGTAAATTTCTTATTTAAGTACTCTTAACTGATCCTGAAATCAACAATAATTTTTTATTTTATTTTTTTAGGAATTGGTAGATTGGGAGTATAAGAGCAAAATCAATGGTAAAATGCATGCTTGTGGCCATGATGTTCATGTAACAATGCTGCTTGGAGCAGCTAAATTACTTCAACGCAGAAAAGATGAACTCAAGGTAAATTTACAGTCACATAATACATGATAAACAAAGATATTGGTGAGTTTCATTATTATTTATGTGTGTTTTAGGTTAGCTGAATTGCTTGCAATATTAATTTTCTTTTCAAGGGCACTGTTAAGCTTGTCTTCCAACCTGGAGAAGAGGCTCATGCTGGTGCTTACCATGTGTTAAAAGACGGTGCTCTAGATGAGTCACGAGCTATTTTTGGTTTACATGTTTCGCCAGATATGCCCACTGGTACCATCGGATCCAGACCTGGTCCAATGCTGGCCGGCTCAGCCAGGTTTGTAGCTATAATTCAAGGGGAAGGTGGACATGCAGCAAGCCCGCATATGACTAGAGACTCGGTTCTTGCTGCCTCTCTGGCAATCCTTGCTCTGCAACAGGTTGTTTCTCGAGAAACAGATCCTCTTATGGCCAGGGTAATTTTCCTTATATGGTTCTTAAACACTACTTTTTAATTGGGTGTTTCTGTACATTTGTATGTCTACTTGTCTACCATAGTGAAATAATTAAAGATATAATACCTTTCTCTTGGTCATTTCAACTATATATGTAGGTGGTCTCTGTTGGTTTCATAGATGGTGGTCAAGCAGCAAATGTGATCCCTGAGAAAGTGAAATTTGGAGGCACTTTTCGGAGCATGACTTCTGAAGGCCTCCGCTATCTCCAACAAAGGATAAAAGAGGTATCTATCTACATGTGTGTCGAAAACAGCTTCAACCCTTCAACAAAGGATCCTTATAATTAATCTAGATTATGTTAAATTAATATTTGGATCCAATGTCTTTATATTTCTTTGTAGATCATGTATGATGTTTAATATATATATGCATTGCAGTGTTCATTGGAAATTCTATCTTATTACGCTGTAGATCACTAGAAACAATTGTTGACAGATTCCAGTGCCAGATGAAAAAAAATTGTAAACCTCCACATTTTTTCATAAACCATACATGTTACATGGGCAGTTAGACAAAGCTTAATATAAACAACATTTTAAATTAAAGAGACTACTAGACGACTTACTATGTGCTGCTTATATACAGGTGATAGAAACGCAAGCAGGTGTGCAGCGGTGTAGTGCAGTGGTTGATTTCATGGAAGAGAAACTGAGGCCTTATCCAGCAACAGTGAATGATGAAGCAATGCATGAACACGCGAAGAGGATTGGAGGATTCTTGGTTGGGGAATCCAATGTACGCCTTATTCCAATGTCTATGGGAGCAGAGGACTTCAGCTTCTACTCGGAGACGATGGCAGCTGCATTTTTCATGATTGGGACCAAAAATGAAACAATGAAATCAGATAAAATACGGCTGCATTCACCTCATTTAATTATTGATGAGGAAGTTCTTCCTATTGGAGCAGCTCTCCATGCTGCAGTTGCAATATCTTACTTGGATAGCGTTAATTGTCAAAACGCGTAATTAACTACTACTTCTTGTACCTTCAACATTGCAAATCAGTACTTAAATTCTACAGCACGCACCATTATACTTCCCTGTGATAATGAATGCTACGAGGGTATTTTTATATATGGAACCAAATTCTAGACGTGGGGTTACATCACACACGATCCATCATCCTTCATGGTGTTCCAATTGTACCTGAAAGAATTCCTCAAACCAAAATCAATACAAACTTAGCATAAGAATTTCGTCACATTTGTGTGTTTAGAAGTATAGATTAAGAACTTATTAGACAGATGTCAAGAGTTTTATTTATTTTTAGAAGTGTACTTGAAATTTTTTCACCTCTTTAGTTTCTCTTTTGAGGATGAAAATGTTACTAGTATAAAATTAAGTTAGGTTAGAGACAAAAATGTCTCCACTCTTTTATTTAAGAATGTAAAGGTTATACAAGTATGCGTTTTGTTTTAAGCTTTTTGTTTTTGGTTAAACAGAAATAATATTTTTGTTATAGGAGTGTTTTGAAAAATAATTAAAAGCACATTTGAGACGTGTGAACGATGTTTTGTTATAAACATATCGGATATGTATTATGTTACTCTTATGATTTTGAGCTATAAACAGTTGTTAAAATAGGAAAAAATATCTTTTGAAATCCCTTCAATCATCTTTGAGATAAAAGAATATACGAATGTTATATAATTGAATTAGTTTAGGGATAGAAATGTGGAGAGTTAGGAGGAATGGAATTTTATGGTTTAGAAGTTTTGAGATTCTTTTATAGCTATTATCATTGACCTGTAAACCATTTTTCTCCTTTGGTTTTTTTATCAAGTGAATTTTAAATTAGATATAGTGACGGCTAAAGGAAGTCCAACAGTGGCTTTCACAGCTCCAGAAGAGGAGGAGAGGTTAGGGATCCAAATAAAATACTACATACAAGCTAAGGTTAATACTCCAAAGGTTTCAATCTGTCATCAATTGTATATCCATAATGGAGTGGTTATGCGAGTGGCTCTGTTTTTTGATGATATTATTATTATTATATGGTAACTCAAGGGCTGTGGGGGCTCTTTCGGCATCGGAGACTGAGTTATTGACTCGGGACCTACTTGAATCGGCGAGAGAGCCCGAGTTCTTCAGTTGGTTGAAAAGGGTTCGGAGAAAAATACACGAGTACCCAGAACTGGGTTTCGAGGAGCACAGGACAAGTCAACTTATCAGATCAGAGCTCGACTCGCTTGGAATTCAGTATTCATGGCCTGTGGCAGTTACTGGGGTGGTCGCTTCAATTGGGTCAGGGATGAAACCTAGCTTCTCTCTTCGAGCGGACATGGACGCCCTCCCTATTCAGGTCTATCTCTCTCTCTCTTCCCCCTTTTATCATTTATTGCATATTGAAAACACAACAACATTATTAGGAAGAAACATTTATTTTATGATTCTGGGCTGTCACCATTTCAGCCGCATTTCACATATGTCATGTTTGAGATATGTTTAAATCTGTGTGAAACAAACTTAACTTGTGGGGGTCCTTGACAAATTTAAAAATGTCACAATGTGGTAGTCATGGATTATGATGCCCTCTCCATAGCCAAACAAGTCCCAAGTATTCCAATCACTAGAGGGGGTGCGTGTGTGTTTGCAACTTAATGTCCGCATGCACATGTTAGATAGAGGGTGAGTAGGGAAGATATGAAATTTTTTACATGCGATTAATAGGTCCAAACAGTAAATAAATGCAATGCCCCTGTTTCTTTCCATTTGAGTAGAATTTATGATCATTTTAATGTACCTTAAAGGCACTCTAAATAAACTTAGAGCAGGGGTAGCTTAAGGTTTCTATACTTTGGTTAAAAAACTTTTTCATATGCTATACTGGACCTTTAAAGTTCAAAGACAAGGAACGTTGGTAAGGCTGCTATTACCAACTTAGGAAGAAAATAACAAGGCTATTTAGCAATGTATTTATCTAGTAGGAATTTTAGTTAATAGAGTATATAAAATGTTGGAATTAGGTAGTGACTAATTACTTTATCAAGTGTTGATTGTCAATTCTCTCCGTTATGGATGTTAATTGTCTACGGTGCTAATTCAACAGTCCCCGCTCCATGGAGTATGTGCCAAATCAATGTAAGAGTATGCGGGTGATTGCCACTTTTTTAACCACAAAGGTTGTTGCTTGCTTTGGGAATGGGAAATGATCCCTAACTCAGGGTTAGGAACTATCTAGTGGCTGCTCAATCCAGATTTACTGCATCCTTTATTTTTATTTTATATTTTATTTTATTATTAATTTTTTATCTAACAATTATTCTTCCATCTATAGCTATGTCACAATATAGCAATGTATGTATGGTACTCATAGTCACTAAATCCTGTTTCAAAGGCCAGTGATGGTGCTGTAAACACGAGACATTAGTTGTGGTTCTTTTACATGTTATGGTGAGAGTTGTTGGTTGAGCATGGTACTTGTGGACTCATTTATTTAATTAAATGAATTGTTTCTTATATTGACTAATGAACAAATGGTCGGTTTTGTTATTTTTCATATTCACATAATAGACTTTATTGCTTAGTTGTCCATAATGAAGAGGAACCAATGCCAAGATACCCCCTTCTTTTTTAAACTTGCATAAGTTCACATGACGTTTGTCCATGTAACGATCCTAGCTGATGCCAAAATTTAAAAAAAAATTGGCATAACCTCCCCTAAAAATGGGCCTACCACAACCTGTTTAAATGAATTTTTTAACCTGTCCCAACACAATAAACATATAATACATTCTAACATCCCTTTCATCCATTCACCATGCCTTACTTAGTTCCTCTCATGGTGGAACATCCACACACCAATTAATCTAAATTATCATAATTACATTCCCAAAATACATGGTTGAGATTTAAAGTCCCTGTCTTACAACGTTACATGATACAATTGCATGGAAATATATATACCATAATTCCATTAGTTTCATTTACATCAAACAAAAGATAAGTTCATTCTTAAGTTACAAGGCCATGAATACTAACTTAATTACATTTCCACAACTATGAATATACATAGAATGGTCAAAATACAAATTAACAAACAACCTTCTAACAACTTTCAAGCTTGAGGTGGATTGTCATCCACCGGTTAATTTCCAAGACCTGAAAAAAAATAATATAAATATATAGGGTGAGCAAATTGCTCAGTAGGTGGCACCTAAGATACGCATCTTGTGTCCCCGTGAACCCAAACAAGGAATAGGACAATAGGAATTGGGGTCATACTGTGTAGGGAAAATACAACATAATATACAGTCTCAACACAATCAATATGGAGCAATGAAATGCAGTGCATGTTAATGTCGCTCCCCATTTTCAACAATTCAAATCCACCAATTTCAAACTGTTAATGTAACCCCCTTTGGTGACTCCGCAGCGCCGAGAGAAGGATGGGCTACTGTCCCTGACCTTTGGTGACTCCGCAGCGTCATTATGGGGCCTCGATAGCTCAACCACGCTAGGGCAATCTCCCTAGTTCTCTCTAGGTTACATTAACCTACCGGCCCGTTGGTGACTCCGCAACGACTGGGTTTTCTCAAAACTTTTATTCATCAAAACTTGTTTCCCCCAAAAGTTCCCCTTTTGTATCAAACAATTTCTTTCCCATTTTGCTACCCAATCACATGCATGATCATCATATGCTTTCATGATGCCATGATACATGAAAGATTCATACAATACACAATTTAACATGCTTCCATTCAACAATTTACAAAGAAATTACTAGCACCATAAGCATAATGGAAGCTACACATAGACATGCTTTCCATATAACAAATTCTACCAAGATATAAACACTGAAGCATGTAAAATCAACATCTAAGCATGTTTGTCTCACAAAACCACATATACACATAAACATGAATCTCAATTACAAAACCAAATCATTATTAGAGGTAATCAACTCAATTAAGCATGTTAAGCATCAATTAACAAGGATTAATTCACTAGGGGGCAAAAACTCATGGATTAGAAACCCCTACCTCTTAGAATTGTGAAAACCCTCAAAATGGGTCCAAATTTCGAAGTCTCTAGGGAGCACCAAAACTGAAATTGCTTGTACCCACGTGTAGAGTTCGTCGTGCTCTCCGTTTTGCCTCAAACGGCACTTAAATCTACCATGTAATGAGAGAGAAATCAAGATCCAAAGTTTGGCTTCCAAAAGAAAAGAAAAATGAAGGGAAATGAGGGAGAGAGAGGAAGAAACGGGGAGAGAGAAAAATGAGAGAGAAGGAGTGGTCTCTAAACACTAATGCATTAGTGGTGGGTCCCTCCACTTCAAATTTTGATTTTCCATTATTCTTTTGTCACAAAATTTTACACCACATAACATGTACAATGCACCACATGCACATACCACTTAGTCCACATGAATTTAAATGTACCAATTGCAATTGGACCCAACCACAATCCCGTATGCAAAACGTGAAATGACAGAAATATCTTTGCGGCAACAAAATTTTCAGAAAATTAAAAAATGGCAAAAAAAATCGGAAACGTCACAGTCCATCAGATTGGAACAGGATGACTAAATTAGATTAAAATAAATTCTAAGTATTTTTCCATAATTGGCCATACAAGGGAAGTTTGAGGATAAATTCGACTCATCTTCTTTTTTTTTTTCTCAACTGGAAAATAATGTGAGAATGGTATCTTCTGAAATCTAATAAAATTGCTGAAAATGAGATTGAATATGCAAATACTTGGCAATTCAAAACAAGTCATATATTGGCATACCCTAAAATTTGATAAATTATGACTAGTTCCTAATATGAGGTCCTAATGGCTTGTATTACTTGGATTTTGGATACGTGTGTTGACTGCATACATGTGTCAATGTCAGATTTATAAAATCCCCAATACCAGGCTCACGGGGATACATTTAGATGTTCATATTATTCTATTTTTCTTATATTTTTTAGAGTAATATAATGTTTTTATGTAATTAATTGTATTCAACATAGGCACTTCATTTATGAAAAAAAAAACATAGGCACTTGGCTCATGTAAAAGATAATGTAAAAAAAGGAACATAATTAGAATTTCATGTACATTTATATAGTAAATTTGAATTATTGAATATGCCTGCCCTTGTCCAGTAGTCCCGGTGATGTAGGACAAGAACATACTCAAATAGAAGAAAGCAACTAAGAGTTGTGGGCTGGAAATTCAAATAAACAAAGCTATTGTTCAAGAGTCGTCAGTAGAGAAGAAGGATTGAAATAACAAAAAAACCCTATTGGAATCACTCCAACAAGGCCTAGGTATCACACTTAGAGAAGGCCTCACACCCTCAGAATTTGTGAATTACTCACAAAGAAATCTCAAATGATATTTTTATTCATTCATTCAATGAGTAAACAGAATTACATAGTATCCTTTTCATAATAACTGATGACCCTTGGATTACCCTACAATGGAGTAATCAAAAGTTGGCTCTAGCATAATAAAGAAACAAATAACTCAATTGACGCAATTTAATCTAATTGATGCAATTTACCAAAGCAATGCATTTTCACCATAATTGATGACATTACCAAAATTATGCAATTTGGCCAATGCCACTAATTATACAAGACTCCAGTGGACCCCCAATCGTCTAACATGTGCCAAATTAAGGTTAGAGCCTTAGAACCCTCCTTGCCACGCCTTTTATATGCTTTAAAAGGCTGCTGCCACTATTCTCTACCAATTCTCCCCGGCTTGGAAAAACTTGACCCCGGCGAGGTAAATGCAAGAAATTGTTCATAGAGGTCTGGAGCTAGGTGTTGGAACTCACTGTCGCTAATCCACGTACAATCAAAAAGTGGCCGTCCTTTCCACTTAACGAGGAATTTTTGATAACCACCTGCCCTTGTTGAAACAAGTTGGTGATCAACAACATCTTCTATTTCCTCCTTTAAACGTGGGGCTGGGGTAGGCAAGTGATAGGATCAACAAGAAATGGATCAGCAAAATGGCCTAAATGCAAGGTGAGATCTTCGATGTTGAAGACTTTACTGATACCCATCTCTTCTAGTAGGTTAAGAACATAAGCATTGGAGCTAATTTTCTTGAGAACTTTGTACGGGCCAGCACTCTTTGCGTAAAGCTTCTTATAAACACCTTTAGGATATCATTCCGGTCTTATTCACACCATAACCATATCTCCTTCCTCAAATTCAGCAAACTTCCTCCGCAAACCAGCTTGTGTTTTGTAAGTTTCATTGCTCATTGCAATCTTCCTTCGAACTTCCACATGGATGTCTCTGATTTGCTTTCTAAAGGCATTAGCTTCAGCACTAGAGCGTGACACAATTGGTA